CCACCACCATGTTTCACGGTGGGGATGGTGTGTCCAGGGTGATGTGCAGTGTTAGTTTTCCGCCACGCATAGCATTTTGCTTTTAGGCCAAAAAGTTCAATTGTGGTCTCATCTGACCAGAGCAGCTTCTTCCACATTTGCTGTGTCCCCACATGGCTTCTTGAAAACTGCAAACGGGACTCCTTATGGCTTCCTCAACAACAATGGCTTTCTTCTTGCCACTCGTTCATAAAGGCCAAATTTGTGGAGTGCACGACTGATAGTTGTCCTGTGGACCAATTCTCCTACCTGAGCTGTGGATCTCTGCAGCTCCTCCAGAGTTACCATGGTTGCTGCTCTGATTAATGCTGTCCTTGCCCGGCCTGTCAGTTTAGGTGGACAGCTATGTTTTGGCAGGTTTGCAGTTGTACCACACTTTTTTCATTTTCAGATGATGGATTGAACAGTGCTCCGTGAGATGTTCAAAGCTTGGGATATTTTTGTATAACCTAACCCTGCTTTAACCTTCTCAACAACTTTATTCCTGACCTGTCTGGTGTGTTCCTTGGCCTTCATGATGCTGTTTCTTCATTAATGTTCTCTTACAAAGATTTACGAAATTATACACAGGTAGACTATATTTACTAATTAGGTGACTTCTGAAGGCAATTAGTTGCACTAGATTTTAGTTAGGGGTATCAGAGTAAAGGGGGCTAAATACAAATGCACGCCACAGTTTTCGGATATTTATTTGTAAAAAAAATTTGAAAACCATTTATCATTGTCCTTCCACTTTGTGTTGGTCTATCACATAAATCCTAATAAAATCCACTTATGTTTTTTTGGTTGTAACATGACAAAATGTGGAAAATTTCAAGGGGTATGAATACTTTTTCAAGGCACTGTACATGTAAAACATGCACAATAAAGTATATGCAAAACCTTTTACTAACATATAGATTTTAATATGTTATAGTGATTTGCATATTTTTAAATCAGCAACTTTTGTTAAAATATGGCACGGTGATCCTGCCATGCATGTCTTTGTTGAGACATTTCCTGTTATGAGATGACATAGCTCTATCACTGTCTCCCATCTATGCTCCTGCTTTGTCTAAAGAAATAGCAACTTGACACTGTAGGACTAAAAGATTTACTTGATTTGTTTCCTTCTTTTATCACCTTTTGACATGGACTTCTGATAAAGACTACACAGAGGCTTGGTCCACTGTTGTCACCTTAAGGAAATCTGTCCTGAGAAATGCTATGCAGTCATCAGTGTAGAGAGTACATGTAGATAGGAAGTGGTTGCAAAGAGGCTGCAGTTGATCAGTAGGACTGAGGATGAAAAAAATGTGAGAATAAGTATTAATTTGTTTTTCAATGGCAAATATTTGCTGCAAAGTGCTTTAGCAAACTTGATGTAATTCATTTAGAGATTACTTTTAATATGCAGCTATCTATTATTTCCTTTTTTCCAATTTAATAATGTAAGTGCCTTAATTTTTCTTGATATCAGCCTTTTGCAATCCCTGGTACAGCAGCAGAAAAACTAAGGGAGGTAGGGGCATCTCAAGGAGCCAGGCGATTGTGCTGCAATGTGCTTGCATGATATGCTGACAGGAGAAGAGAGTAATAGAGGAATGAGCTCATCTCTGTGGGACAAGGAGAGTAGATTTGATTCTTCTGTCCTGCAGTTCAGGAACAACTAAATGTGTTGTCCTTTCCCCAGCTTGTGACTGGACAGTGAAATAAAAAGCAGCTCTGGTTGCAAGGCTCACTCTGTCTTTGGAGCTATCCCGGGAAGTTCTTCTTTTCCACCATTAGATACCACCAACCTTCCCAGCTGAATGACGGTCAGTGTCATTCACCCCACTTCCTGTGGGTGTCAAGGACCCGTACCCTGGAAATACATTATGCAACTACCCATGACACACAGGTGAACTCTGCAGAGAGTGGCATCTCATCATTATGTGGACTTGCCCACTGTCAATGACAGAAGAGGACCCATAATGCCACATGATAGGATTGAAGACCTATGTATGTATACATATTTAATTCAAAAAACAATAGAGTGCTGGGGTGCTTCAAGGGGTTGGGGGCTGGATGAAGGGAAGGCTTAACTGTTTGCCTGGAGTTTATGTTCCAATCTACAGAAGTTAATTATAAAGATATGCAAAATTTTATTAGGATTATCCCCGGCTCGTCTTATTTTACTTGGAGCATGTTTTGATCAAGGCATAGTTAATTTATAGTAATATTTCTAGGCAACATCAAGGTCAGGATATCATAAATAAACTGATATAAGACATAGCCCTATTCAATCATGGTAATGCTTACATCTTATACTAATGGAATTTAATTTTGTTGAGTAGTGTCTTTCCATCTCCCTTCGTACAGATGGGGATGTTAAGGGAAGTTATACAGATGTTCCAATATGATGCTTACAACCATTTCTAAAATATTAACGCTGAGCTACCAGGAAAGGGAAAAAAAATTCTTGCAGTGAGGCTCCTGGTGCCCTAGACAAGAAAGCGATCAGTTAAAGCAGTATTAACACCCTCTCTCCCCCCAATAAAGTGAAAATATTGCAGCTTAACAAAACCTTAAATATGATGTCTGCGTTTGTATTTTTAGGTGTTTTTCCTTTATTTTTACATGGTGATCCCTCATTAACACGTTTCCTGTCTTTGGGTGTCTCCACTCAATTAAGTAGCAATTGAGCCACAGCATTGTCAGTTTGGTGGGAGAGTAGTGTTGCACTATGGACTTGATTAACAAATTAAAGCCAAACTCCAGCTAACAAATTTTAAGCGGTTATAGCAGCTGGTTTTTTTTTGTTTTTTTTTATGTGGATAGCTGACCTTTGTAAATTCCCCTGTCAGTGTTAAATGTTTTGTCTCAACCTTCCAACTTCCACTTTTACTGGGCAGCTTGGTCTGCTAAACTGGAACTAAACCCTGCTATCCTTTACAGCAAAGGAAGCTGCCATCTTAGTCTCTGTTTGATTTTCAGATACCATGGTGCTGCACATGTGATCAGTTATGACACCAGCCATTTCATTGCATGACAGTTTGGTTGAGTGCACACTTAACAGGGACGGCTATCATAATTGGCATGCCTTGAATGTAACTGTTTGGGGAACAGTTAAATAAATGGGTTTAGGTCTGCTTTAACCGCCTGATCACATGTAAATAGGAAATGCGGTTATTGGCAGTCCTCTCCTCACGCTGACAGAGCATGAGGAGAGGATAGCCGGTATTCCTCAGAGGGGACATCTACACTGATCATCAGGACACTCCAAACTTTCTAAACACAGGGCAAGTTTACTGTCCTTGAGACTTTAGGGGGCCAGACTTTGGCTATTAGGAGTAGAAAAGTCTTGACGTCAGTGGCAATAGACAATGCCCCATCTTTGGTGTCAGTGGGTGGGTGGAATTATAGCACATCATAGGTGTGATTGGGAGGAATTGCAACCCATTGTTGGTGTCAGTGGGAGGAATTGTGCGTTATCATTGATGTAATTGGGAGGAATTGTGGCCCATTATTGGTGTCAGTGGGAGGAATCATGCCCTATCATTGGTGTAATTGGGAGGAATTGTGACCCAATGTTGGTGTCATTGGGAGGAACTGTGCCCAATCGTTGTTGTCATTGGGAGGAATTCTGCCTCCTCATTGGGCCTGATCATTGGTGTCATTGGGTCAAATTGTACCCCTTTATTGGTGTCAGTGGGGGGAATATGTCCCATTGCTGGTATCAGTGGATGAAATTGTGCCCCAAGGGCAGGATAAAAGCAAGCAATGGGCCACATCTGGCTGCAGTTTGGAGACCACTGCCTTAGTGCATTCCCTGTATTAAAGTAAAAAAAACTTTAATGTGAAAGATAGGGCTTCAGGGTATGGAGACATGTAACCTGACCATTACCATGTGGCAGTGCTTGGGCCTGAGCAGCCAGTCACCAGGCCCAAAGCTTGTCAAATGGGGGGGGGGGGGGGTGCCTTGATCTCAGTCCCCATCTTAAATTCTGACACCAGTCAACACGCAGTTATTTATACAGATTTAGAAAATTGTCCAGGTTTTCATCCAGATTCTAGATAGACAGTACATGTTTTGATGCCCCAAACCAATACCAATGTGCCATTGGTATTCCTTGAAGACTACCATACTGACAGTTCAATTCCCAAAGTAATAAAGTTTGGGGACCGCTGTACTTAATTTCAATCTGTCTTGAACTGAAAATCAGAAATTGAATTAGACTGCAAGAAAAAAGTGTAAGTTTACTTACCTTGTTGGTCCCTGGAGAGAGATTTACTAGCAATAAATGTCTCACACTGTCCTGTAAACCTTCTGAATGTGTCAAAGTTTATTACTTTCATTACACTGGAGCCTTTGGAATTATATCTGTATTTTTCTTGCCAGTTGTGAGTACTTCTGTCTTCAGATGAGCTGTTACTTCTCACTTTGGTATGTAGGTCAATCACGAAGATGGTTTAGCTGATCAGGTTAGTCTAGCACGAATATGTTTTGCTTTTAATGTAAAGTCCCTCAACGTGCAAACATAATGTGCTTTTTGTTAATGTTTTGCAACACATCAAGGTGTTTACAGTCCTGTGAAAAAGTAAGTATGTTCAATGGAAACAAATGTAAACTAAGAAACCGTAAATCTTTATTCAAGCAGTGCCTACAGATAAAGGTGATATATTTGAAACAAATGACACATAAAATTACCAAGGTGTATTCATTCTTATACTCTCAATTATGAAAACACATGTATTTACCCACTTCAGATACATGAACTTAGAATCTGGTGTTTCAGATTAGGTTCCAGTTATTAGAACCTCCTTAACCGCTAGCCTACAGGCCACTTATATCCCCTTCCTGCCCAGGTCAATTTCCAGCTTTCAGCGCTGTCACACTTTGAATGACAATTGCGTGGTCATGCAACACTGTACCCATATGAAATGTTTATCATTTTTTATGACAGCTTTCTTTTGGTGGTATTTATTCACCTCTGGGTTTTTTATTTTTTCTTAAACCAAAAACCACTGCAAATTTTGAAGAAAAAAAAATGTTTTTTCTTATTTTTTGTTATAAAATTTTGTAAATAAGTGAATGAAGCTCCACTGATGGGCACTGATAGGCTGCACTGATGGACACTGATAGGTGGCACTGATGAGGAGGCACTGGTAGGTGGCACTGATGGGCATTGACAGGCATCACTGATGGGCACTGAAAGGCGGCACTGACTGCCACTAATAGTGCCACTGACTGGCACTGATATGTGGCACTGACTGGCAATGTTAGGCGGCACTGAAAAGAGCTGTTAGGCAGCACTGACAGGCACTGAAGAGCACTGATAGGCAGCACTGACAGGCAATGATAGGTGGCACTGATTGGCAGCACTGATAGGTGGCACTGATTGGCATTGATAGGTGGCACTGACTGGCACTGATGTGTGACACTGAAAGGCAGCTCTGATGGGCACTGATATGTGGCACTGATGGGCACTGACACGAGGCACTGATGACCACTGACATAAGGCACTTCTGGGGCTACACTGATCATTAGGGCACACTGATCATCAGTGCCCTTATGATCAGTGCACATGTCCCCTCTGCAGAAAGCTGATTACCGGCTCTCCTCTCCCCTCGAGGTGTCAGTGTGACAGCTCGAGAGGAGAGAAATGCCGATAACCAGCATTTCCCTGTTTACATGTGATCAGCTGTGATTGGACACAGCTGATCACATGACCGAGCCGACATCTTGGGCTCTTTCCGTGATCCGCTGTGTCCGAGGGACACAGCGCACCACCGATCGCCGCGCTGCGTGCTCTCTGAGCCGTGCATGCGCAGTGAGAATGGGAGGACGTCATATGACGTCCTCCCAGAACAAGAACCACCTTGCGCCCGTCATATTACTATATGGCGGGTGGGAGGTGGTTAAGAACTATTCAGGTGGAAGTCTTTTCTAAACGTCAAAAATGTAGGGTCTGGTGTTCTCTTTGCTAATGAAGAATGTGGTGGCGTTATGCCAAGATCAAGTGAGCTCTCTTAAGCCCTCAAAGCATGATGTTGATGCCATTTACATTGGGGAGGGCATTGTTTCCATGTTATAGCATTTCAATTAAATGACTGTCTTATGTTGGGGACAACAACACTGCTGAGGACCTTTCATTTAATTGTGGCATGGTGGAAGGGCAGCATCACTGGGAAATGGGTTATCATAGTAGCATTGCTTCCCCCCCCCCCCCCCGCCCCATTGCAGGGTATCCATCAATGTTATTGTGGCCTGGTGTGTTATATCAGAGAACAATGTAAACTACATCCCCTGATGTAAAACCTTTACCAATCACATGGTCCAGCGATGTAGATCCATTGTTGATCATGATGATTCGCCGCCTGACTTTTCCTGGCCACCATGACCCAATGCCCAACAATGCTGTCCTTCCGCACTACCAACAATAAATGACATGATCCCCTGCACTGCTGGAATATAAACACAATGGCAGGTGTCTCAGTGATGTAATTGACCAAATATGGTCATTTCCATATTTGGCCTGTGATATCACCCAGGATCCCCACCGCTGTATATAAACAGTAGCCAGGGATCTGTCATTTAGCAGAGGGGCACTATTAATGGGCAGTAGATCATTGTCAGACAGCTGGACCAGGTGATTGAAGATGAATCTACTTCATTGGGCAATATAGATTTACTTTGGGGGCATTGTTTACTGTTTTGTTTTTTTCAAAGAAGTTTCTAGCAGTGTTGGGTGCCTTCATATTTTTACACTACTTTGAAGAATTAGTAACAAACGGGTAATGATTTACCCATGCTCTCATTTCCCTGAGAGTGGTAGCAGGATACCTGGTGCCCCTTTTATGTAAAGGAGGCTTACATATATCTTTAAGTCCCCCCCACACACACAAACCTACACATTCCTTTTGGGGGAAAGGGTGTGGGGAAGAGGACCTTTTCCCACTACTATGGGACTAGGTGCTTTTCAAGAGAGGGGAGTGTGGCTGCTTCCCCAATGCAAGGTAGCCCCCTTGATTTTGAATAGCATGTGACCTGGTGTAGTACAGGAAGAGGAGATTGTAAGTGCACTGTCCTCCCTGTCCTGGTTATCCAGGCTGCACTTTTGGATGAGGGCCATGAATGAATTTTACCCCCATGTTGTTTTGTCAGTTTTAAAGAGTGAGTTCACCTTTAGTAACATGTCACACCTGTATTCAGGGTGCAGCATGTTACTAATGTAAGAGCCCCATCCCTCCCCGATCCCCCCACTATAACAATGGGCGGGAGAACCTATCCTTAACCTGCCCCCACAGTCATATTCATTCACAGAGAGAACCTCGGCAGACGACTTGTAGTTCCTATTGAACTGCGAAGGTACTGGTAAATGCCCTTGTTGTTCACTGATTCTCCCTGCGTTCCGGTAGTTGTCCTTGAAAAAATAATACACTGTGTGTATTATCATGTTATTGTGGAATAAACGGGTCCATAGTAAGAATGGAAATACTGCTTTGTCAATAGGTAGTGTAAAGCTGTGAGAGCTGAAGTGGTTAAATAGTGGAGGATTGCACTCCAAAAAGTGAACGTCCGCTTTTATGCTTTTTTTTTTTTTTTTTCCACTTTTACTTCTAACCTTATTTTAACCACTTGCCTACCGGGCACTTATACCCCCTTCCTGCCCAGGCCAGTTTTCAGCGCTGTCGCACTTTGAGTGACAATTGCGTAGTCATGCAACACTGAACCCATATGAAATTTTTATCATTTTTTTCACACAAATAGAGCTTTCTTTTTGTGGTATGTACTCGCCACTGGGTGTTTTATTTTTTGTGCTATAAACAAAAAAAAAGCAAAAATGTGGGGAAAAAATGTTTTTCTTTGTTTCTATTATTAAATTTTGCAAACCGGTAATTTTTCACTAATGTACATTGATAAGGCTGCACTGATGAACACAGGCAGTACTGATAGGCACTGATGAGCAGGCACTGATATGCAACAATGATGGGACCTGATAGGCAGCACTGATGGGCACTGATAGGCGTCACTGATGAGCTGGCACTGATATGCAACAATGATGGGACCTGATAAGTGGCACTGACTGTGGCACTGACTGATGGCACTGACTGATGGCACTGATGGGTGGCACTGACTGGCGGCACTGCTGGGCAACACTGATGGGCGGCACTGCTGGGTGGCATTGCTGGGCACAGGTGGACGACTCTGCTGGGCACAGATGGGTGGCACTGCTGGGCACAGATGGGCGACACTGATGGGCACTTGTGGACAGCACAGGTGGGTGGCACTGTGGGCTCCAATCATCAGGCACTGATGATCGGTACTGATCCCTCCTCTGACAATTGCTGGTTATCAGCAGTACTACTGCATTTACCAGTGATCTGCTGTGTCATTGGACATGGCTGATCACGTGGAAAAAAGGCCACTGTGATTGTCCTTTTACCACATCACATGATCAGCTGTGTCCATAGGACACAGACATCACGGAGATTGCCTGGTACGCGCCCCCAGGAGGGCGTGTTCTGGGAGGACGTCATATGACTCCCTCCCAGAACTGGCCGGCCACAGTGAAGCCGTCATTCGGCTATCTGGCATCGGCAAGTGGTTAATATTCATGTGACATTTGACTATTTTGCAAAACCATATTGCATTTCTTTATTTAATATTATTTCATAATTATTCTATTACTTTTTTGAACATGCAAAATCACACACGTTTGTCAATATAACCCTTTGATCCAAAACAGTACACACCTACAAGCATTACACGCTCATTATCTGATAAAACTCACCTACTTCTCATTTCTGTACACAAATTTGCATGTGGTGTACTTTTTAAAAGGTTTTTCAGCTACAGAAATCAAATGCTCATAACTTTTGTGAATTTGGCACTAATGTTGCAACAGAAATTTGTGCACTCGTCATACTACTTAGTTTGAGGCACAGGTCACACTTCTTCTCTCAAATAGGCTTATTGTTTTAATAATTTAATGCACACATTTCCATCCTCATTTTTTAACAGTAATTTTGGCACAACAGTGAATTCCCACATGGCTTATCTATGATAGTGTCTGAAGAAAAAAAAGTTTGTTTTTTCTTATTCCAACCAGATATTTTAAAACCGCTTGTGGACTGCCTACCACACTTTTACTGCAGCAGAGCGGCCCTGCTGCTGTGCTGGATCTTGTTCATGTACAGGATCCAGAATTTCCAGGAAGGGGGCATGCACATACGCTGCCCTATCTATGTTGTTTGCTACAGCATAAGTCGGTCGGTAGGTCCCAGCCAATGATTTGTATCTGTGTTTCTTCCCCTGCAAAGCAGGGAGAAAAAAACACATCTAGCCATAAAAGCAGCACATATTACACATTATTAGACACACAGTTAGCCCTTTGATTGCCCCTAGATGTAAACCCCTTTCTAGCTGGTGTCATTAGTACAGTGAGAGTGTTATAGTATTATGAAAACAAATATGTAGTGCTAATTCATACCACTATTGCACAAAATATAACGACAAATTAATAAATTCAAGTTCTCCTAAAAGTCCAATAAATTTGCCTTTGTTAGATGAAAACCATATTTTCAAAAAGAGATGTGCTGCCAACAGGAAGAAAAAAAAGAGAGAATCCTCTGCCATCACCATTCACAGCCTCATACTGGAAAATATGACCACAGATCATGCGGTCAAAAACAGCAAATATGGAATAACAATGAACATGTTGGATCCTTGATCTTCTCCCCCAAAAAAAGGCAGTTCTACTGCTAGTGACTCGATGATAAAGATACAGTGTTATGCCTCAAAGATAATGGGATGCATACAAAGAGAACAAAAGCTCCTCATAGTGTAGTATTTCAATATAATCCAAAGTTTATAAAAGTATTGCACTTACAAATATAAGATGAAATCGGCATGTGAGATCATAAATGTTTCCAACCAGCAAAATAGCTGCGGTGCATGCTGCTATGAGAAAACCAGACACAAATAAGCCGTAGCTCCACCCTACGCATTTCGTCACAAGCAGACATCAGGGGCGTGGCCTACGATGACCATCACGCTATAACACTTGCGCTTCATGAACCGGAACAATAAATGTATTGCCGGAACAGATGTCATAACGACACCATAACAGCCTATGAAGCTAGTGCTCCACAGACCTGAACTACAATATATGAACAGACCATGTGTCAAAATGACAACATAAATGAAATATAGACCAAAAACTGAAATAACTAACTATAAAAAATTGCCTAAGAAAATACTGTATTAAACATTAAGGCCCACTATACCATCTAGTGGCTAAAAAACAATAATGGTATATCCAACAAGTTTCTATACATTCCCCTACTCAGTGAGCCATCTAGTGATTGGAAAAAATATTAAAATGACATAGATAAACTACACAGCGACATCTTGTGATTGGAAACCAATATATATACTGTGTGTGTGTATGTATGTGTATATATATATATATATATATATATATATATATATATATTATTACACAATACAAAATATATAAACAGATAACATTAAATAGTTTCAACCCCTCAAAAAGTGGGCCAAAACCCAACATAGTCTAATAAGTAAATAAACAAAAATAATCAAAAACTAATAAGTAAAACAAAAATAATACAATCAAAGACCTATGACCTCACTAAAATACGTTCAACTATTATTAATAAAAGCATTAACATCCCATTCGATATTTAAACCAAACGGGATATATGTTTTTAATGTATAAATCCGTTGGGTCTCTAATTTAAAAATCTCCCTCCTGGTATGACTCCCACGCCCCCGATACCTCATCACTGGCTGTGATTGACAGCAGCAAGAGCCAAGGCTCACACTGCTGTGGCTATGCCAAATAGGAGGCAGAGAGCCGAGAAAGCCTCTGCTCTTGTGCACATCTCTAGTTCAAGATTTGGCTCAGGTAAGTATAATGGGGAGCAGGCAGGGGAAGCTGCATTCAGAAGGTTTTTTACCTTAACACAGGGAATGCATTAAGGTAAAAAAAACTTTCTGCCTTTTTAGAACCACTTTAAAAACATTGTTTACAGGAATTAAATATCAGAAAGGACTTCTGTGGCCTATATCAGATTTATCATGTGCTAGCTGATAGTTAATGAGCTGTCAGCAATCAGGCTCACTGATTATGTGATCTTATTGCTTAGCAAGACTTGAACAGCAGGCAAATACAGTCGGGAAACCCACTGTACATCTGCACAATGTCAATTCACAAAGTTTGAGTGATCTGTTAGGGTCACGTTAATATTTTGGGTTTTTTTTTTTAATACAGCTTATATCTCTTTTTTGAAGCAAACTTTTACATAATCCACAAATGTACCATTTTGTCATTTTCTCTTTTCACTATCAATACAGTATATCTGCAACTAGGGGCTATTATACTTCAGTGTTTTCCAGGGACAATATACCATCTGGTTATGATATTATGAGAACGTATTTTGTTCTCCTCCCGCCTGTTTTGATGTGTGACCAGATGTCGTTTTTTCTGTAGGCAACTTCTACTTTTTTTTGTTTCGTACCCATCTGATTATATTAGAATGACTCTTCAGATAGTATTATTTTACTATATTTGGCTTTCACACCAAGCTGAGTTGCATTGAGATCTGTTCAAAATTTAGTTCCAGAGTAATACAATATTCATTTCAAATGTTCCCGAAAATACCAGTTCGTTTTTTTTGTGGGTTTTTTTTTTTTTAACTCTGCCTTATGTTTTATTTGAAAAGTGAAAATTGCAACTTATTGGCTCCCATCTGTATAATGGTGCTAATATATGAAGATTAGGGGTGTAGCGCTGTTCCTAAAGTAGTGAAATTGTGTGCCCCCCCCCCCCCCCCACTGGGAGTGTGTATGAATTTGCAATATTCAATTTCAATCCTTGAAACAGAAAAAAAAAACATTCCGTACTACAAGACACCTTCTCCCTTCCTAAAACATATCAAAATGGAAAATGAAAATGAATGAGGTGAAAGAAAAGATTCTCCTAAAGAATCCTTTCATCCTACACAGTGCCCTTCCGTGTTATAAATGAACCAAGTGAGTTAAGCAGAAATCATCAAAAACCTCCTCAACCAGTCCCACAATGTGAATTAAGGTGAGATCAGACCTCCTCCCTCCTTTACCAAAAAGTGTAAAGTTTTAGTGAAATGAAAGGCTATAAATCCCCCCTACATAGGCCAACCTGAATATGGTACTATGGTACACCTCCCCTAAAAATAAAATACTGTGTATAAATGCAGATATCCAATATGCAATAATAATAATATTGTATAACTAAATTGTCCGTGCATATATCAAATTTCAAAAGCAAATACAACTATAGTGCATTAAACACATTTCTTATGCTTCAGTGCGCTGTGAGTGATAAAAAGAACTTGTGTTTCCCCTTTTCCACCGCACTCACCACAAGGTTAGACCCATGTTTCCAGTGGGTCTAACATGCTTTGGGTAGCTCTCCAATCTGCTACGTGTACTGGGTAGCCCCTCCGATATCCAATAGCTGCAATTGCCTATACAACATATTCACTACTTCAAATGTTAGTGCCATAGAACATTGAGTCACAGTTGGATTAATTTTTTTTTTCACATTGAGCCCTGGTTCACACTGAGTTTTCAGTGCGAATTCCACACCGCATCAGAATTGCACTCCATTCATGCGAACTGCTGCGGGTGTGTATGTTAAGTTAACAGCACCCTGAAAGCGGTCCACAAAATGCGGTGCGATATGCAGAAGCGGATCGCAAAAGTGTGAATACCTATGCGATCCGATTCTAGTGCCGACCCAAAAAAGGGTCCTGCACATTTTTGGTGCGGGTGCAGTTTGAATAGAGCCATACAAAATGTATGGCTCCAATCGCACCTCGCGCAAATCGCATGTGATTTGCACTGGAATGCTATGGGTTCCTTTGCGAATCACATGCGATATACCGCACCGCAGATATGTGAACCCAAGCTCAAGAACAGAAATCAACTCAGCTCAACTCTTAATGTCAAATAAAATAGATCTGTTATGTGGTTCAAATGAATACCAATGAAAAAAATGATTGCATTTGTATCCACTTAATGACCAGGCATCATCCCGGTATTGGTTTTTAGAGCTGGTAGTCAGTTTTCTTGAAAAATCAATCCTAGCAACTAATAAGATTGGATTGCTTTTACAAGCAGTAGGACGTGCAATTCCCCCTCCACCGCCTCCCACCACACCTGCTGTCTCTGGCTCTCCCATCCCAGTGACCAGTCAGCTCTTCCGCCATCTGACTATAGAGGTAATCAGAGACCGGAACAGCGCCAATTATCTCTATGGTATCAGAAACCAGAAGCGTTGAGCATTCATCACTTCCAGTTTCGCCACATGTAATCAG